GCGCCATTTGTCTGCGCCATTTCCAATTTCAGATTATTCATATCTTTCTCGAGATTCAACCATGTATGAAGAAGTGTAGAGTATGATATGCAAGCTTTCTCGTCATGATGGACATCCCTTAGACGTAGTAGGCTTTTACTCTTTTTAGCTGGAGGCGTTTTAATAGAATATCTAGTTGATAGCCGAAGTTGAGAATCGCTGCTGTATGCCTCTGTAGCCCGGTCGGTTAGCCGTTCGACTTCCACCCGAGGGGTCTACCAAATGTATGACCAGCGAGTCAAGTAAGATCGAGTCTTCTTTTAAATGCGTCAACACTTTCAGAAAGAACAACTGAGGAAGGAAGTTTATTCCAGTCATCAATGACCCAGTGGGAGAAGAAGTTGGCCCGCACTTATAGATTGGCATGGTGTTTCTTCGATTTGTATGGATGACCTCGGAGATGTGTCGTTTGTGCGAATTCAAAGAAGTCAGCTATCTAAAGAATACAGTCCACCTGCCGATTTTGAATACCATGATCATCTCTCCTCTGTATTGCTTATAATAGAGAGGAAAAAGATTGAGCCTATCTAGGTGGCCTTCATATGGTAGGCCTGCTAAGCCGCTGACTAGTTTAGTTGCCATTTTTGGGACTTTCTACAGTACAACGTAATCCTTCTTCGTCCAGGAGCACCACGCCTGGACGCAAAACTACAACGTCGGCCGAACAGAGGTCCCGAAGACTCGCCGAAAAAGCTCCTCATTAAAATAGAGGAAGGAACTTCTGATCGCTCCTAGGATGCCCATAGCCTTCTTTACGGTTTTGACATAGTGAATTTACGGTTTGAGTTTGGGGGTCATCCATTCACCTAGATCCCGTAGTTCGTTCACTTGCCCGAGTTCATGATTTCCGATCACATAGTCTTACTCAAATTGTATCACCTTTCTGCGACTAGACCGTAGGCGGATGAATTAGCATTTGTTGAAACTGAGCTGCAGTAGCCACTTTTCACACCAGTTTTACAAGCGATCCAAGATATTTTGTAAGGTCTGTCCATCTTCTGAGCTTTCAATCGACTTCCAAATCTTTAGATCGTCTGCAAACATGACTTACTCACAGGTGAGGCAGTCAAGGCAGTCGTTGACATATACCAAAAATATAATGAGACCCAAAACGCTTTCTTGTGGAACCCCACTGGAAAGGTTTCCCATTCTGTTTTGGTGTAATCAAAGGCACAAGAAACACTCTGTAATCGCTGATATATCTGTCCCAAAAATTGAAGAAGCAATTAAATAAAGTGAATATGGGAGGTCTTTCTTATACACCAATGGCATTTAAGTTCGCATCAACGTAGATAGTGGCATTACAAAGTCATAGATGAGTGCAGCACTGCGAATGGTGTGATTGTGAAGAACTACCGGAAGTTCGATATTTTCTGCCTATGTTCACTTTCGATAGATCATGTATTCTAATTATGCCACAAAGCTGCTAGTTTGGACCAAATATGAAGTTAAAAAACGTGCATCCGAACGTCTTGCCGACACCATACCACTCTGCATGCTTTTCAGAAAAAGGACATCGGTTCTTATAGCCAGTAAAAACCAGTTCCACCCATATGGATGGAACCATGAGAAGTCGCATATTCCTGAAATCCCCAAATTTTCTTAAGAGGTGTGGAGTGAACGTCTTTATTGCATTCATTCCCGTTTCCAAGGCCAAAATTACGGTGATGGATCAGCCGAAATTCAGGTGGTGGATAAGTTTTTAGCTGCTATTGCCACATTTGATGTCCGAATTCGGGACAGAGGTAAGGATCAAGTTAGTGAAAAAAACAATGATTTTACTTTCTCCGATTATTAATAGTCTATATTTCCTGAAAGGCTTATCGACGGTATTAGTTGCAAAATTTGAGAAATTTATTTAATGATAGTTGAAACCTTCAAAGAAGCGAGTCCTATTTTGATAAATATATAGTTCACTCTTCATTGCTGTAGTCTTCTGTTATTTCGAATACGCGATTGAATCGAGCTCTTCATGCCACTATTCGCTTCATTGTTTAAACGTATCATCACAGTATTTTCGCGGG